ACAATAATTATATTATATTGTAGATTAATTACCACTTTTTGATTTATGCTGTTTGTACGTAAAAATGGTATATACGGAATTATATAAAATGATGTGGCGAAAAAGATTAGATGAAAAAGTTGATTGAGCTTTAAACTGACAAATGAAATATTGTCATGTGGTATTATGTAATCCTTTATGTAAACATTTATGCACATGTAACAAGATCCCTACTTCTTTTGGCCATATAGTCAATGGTTGTCAATTTCGGTGCAGTAGAAGCAATTGTCATCCTTCGATTTTGCACGATATAAAAAAAAAAATAATAATAAATTGATATTACTGCAATACAGCTAAACACAAAAGAAATTTAGAAGCATACATTTAAAAAAAATAAAATTTGAAGTCAACAATAGTGAGATCATTATAAAATGACATATTTTAATTAAAAGATTAATTAAATTTATTTAGTAGAAAATTATACAGTGTCTCACTTCGTCGGTAATTGGGATGGCAAAGGGGCAGGTCGGGGCAATTATTCTCTCACCTCGTTCTCGCACCTCGTCTCGTTAAGTATTGTTGTCTCATTGTCCGTCTTCATACCCGGTTAAGCCATCACCCGTTCTGTTTACAGTGCCCATTTATTTTTTAAATTTTACTAATTTTTATAATATTTTTCGTAGGTAAAAATCACTACATTTTTCATACTGTAGAAAAATTCATGTTTCCTTTAGAAAATAATGACCCTTTTTTTCATTTTATGTGATAAAAAAATATATTTTTTGAAATGAATTTTAAACAAGATGGATAATGGGACAGAAACTATGTCCCCGTTCTCGTCCCATGTACCTGATTAGGTTGGAAATATCCATTCAGGGTAGGATCCCTCGAATATCGGGTATAATGAATCTATTTGCCATCCATAGGTAAAGAATCACACTCTGTATTTTTTAACTAATTAAAAGTTTAAACATATTAATTTTTAACAATAGGACCATATTTGACCTAATTTGCTTATGTTTTAGTGGACAAAATTGATAGAAGCCCTACAATTTGTAAAAATGTTAAAAGAATGCCCTGAAAATCAATTTATCAAAGTTTACCCTATAAACTATTAATCTTGATGAAAAATTCCCTGAGTTGACTGCAGCCAAAACCCAAATATTCTACACCCCATAAGAAAATCCTTAAAATCGCATATAACCCTAGAAATCATCATCAATTTCCAGCAAAAAAATCATCCGATATTCATTAAGCCCCTGTTTGAGTCCCATTCTTTGGCAAATAATGTATTTTTGAATAGTAAATTGATGCAACATGTGGTTAAAAAATAAAGAAAAATTTTGGATTTACGTTTAATATTATTTTATTAAAAAATATGTGATTAAAAAAAGATAAAGAAAAATGTATTTTGAAAATAATGAGAATCATACAAAGACTAAATTTAAATGGAACGAATTCTAGAAAAAAAATCAAATTTGATTTTGGAGCTAAATTCATTGCATTTTTATCAAATTTAAACAAAGTTTTATAAGATTAAATTGAAAAATTAGCAGTTATTGTTGATTTCTATCTTAATCCAGAAAGTTTCCTAACTATGTTTTAGTAATCTAGAGCTTGTTTTGTAGATATTATAATCAGATAAAAATTGAAAAATTAGCAGTTATTGTTGACTTTTATTAGACGAAGGAGACCCAATAACGACTATATTTTCAATTTTAATTGGATTAAAATCTCTCCCAAACAAGCTCTTAGCAATTTTGGTACTTATTATTTGTAGATATTTTGCGAATTACTTCGTGTTCTTATCATTTGAAGCTCAGTTGAAGAAATTGTGAAATTCGGCCCTTGTAGCGCAGGGTAAATATTACAAACTTAGAACCTTGAAACTCAATTCTTGGAACTTAGCCCCATAGTAGTCGAGTTCACCCCAATTCACGACCTTTTTTTTTAAGGTACATCAGCCTATCAACCCATGTTTACACAAATGAATTAGTGGACAAAATTGATAGAAGCCCTTCAATTTGTAAAAATGTTAAAATAAAGCCCTGAAAATCAATTTATCAAAGTTTACCCTATAAACTAATAATCCTAATGAAAAATTCCCTGAATTGTCTGCAGCCAAAACCCAAATATTCTACACCCCATAAGAAAATCCTTAAAATCGCATATAACCCTAGAAATCATCATCGCAATTTCCAGCAAAAAAATCATCCGATATTCATTAAGCCCCTGTTTGAGCCACATTCTTTGGCAAATAATGTATTTTTGAATAGTAAATTGTTGTAAAATGTGTGGTTAAAAAATAAAGAAAAGTTTTGGATTTACGTATAATACTATTTTATTGAAAAATATGTGATTGAAAAACGATAGAAAAAAATGTATTTTAAAAATAATGAGGATCATACAAAGACTAAATTTAAATGGAACGAATTCTAGAAAAAAAATCAACTTTGATTGTGGAGCTAAATTCATTGCATTTTTATCAAATTTAAACAAAGTTTTCTAAGATTAATTTGAAAAAATAGCAGTTATTGTTGAATTTTATTAGACAAGTGAGACCCAATAATGACTATATTTTCAATTTTAATTGGATTAAAATCCTTCCCAAATATGCTCTTAACAATTTTGGTACTTATTATTTGTAGATATTTAGCTAATTACTTCGTGTTCTTATCATTTGAAGCTCAGTTGAAGAAATTGTGAAATTCGGCCCTTGTAGCTCAGGGTAAATATTACAAACTTAGAACCTTGAAACTCAATTCTTGGAACTTAGCCCCATAGTAGTCGAGTTCACCCCAATTCACGACTTTTTTTTAAGGTACATCAGCCTGTCAACCCATGTTTACACAAATGAATGGACCGCATTTGTTTTGGGTACTTCTATAGGAAAAATGTTCTATAGATGAATTTTGTAGAGAAATCTACGAGTTACTGAGTTATTATCTACGATAATTTAAGTGGATGAGATTAGAAAGTCTCTCTTCGCCGTAAGATTAGATAAATCTCCTACGTGCGTTATAAGACGGTGAAACCATAAATACACACTATACAGTAACATTTGTCGTCATATTAGTTATAGCTAATCAAGTGACAAGTTGACACAAAATTTCATACTAGATTTTTCGGTAACGTGTCAATTTATTGAATATCATATCCATCGAGGAATTTCAATCTCAATTTTCTGAATTTTATGGACAAAATTTATTAAATGTGATTAAAAGGTCAAAAAAAAAATAAAAATAATGAGAGAATGTATAATTGAAAATGAGTTCAAAGAAAAATGAGTTATAGAGAAAACTGGCGTAAACATGGATTTAACATCCACTATATCGATGTTATTAAGTATTTTACTCGTACAGACTGAATGAAAAGTTTCGCACGTTTTTATCAAAATAGTCACATAATCGTGTTGAAATTCCCATAATGTTAATTGACAGAAAATATTAAAAAAAAACCGTTTAAAGTCATATATAAAAAAAGAAATAAATAAATATGCAATTTTTTAGGAAAAAAATTATATTAAGAGGAAAATTTTGTTTTGTCTTGACTAACCATGGTTAGTAGATATTAAATTCATATCATCCACGTGACACGCGGTTTGCATTTTTTTCCCTACAATCATGTGAACAGAAAATGCAATGTTTTGTTTGGTTCATGGTCCATTCTTTCATACTCCCATTCATTGAAAAAAATATTGTAATTACTATCCCACTATTAAAAAATACTTATTTACTTATAAGCAAATTTATTTTCGGTAATAGTTGGGGCTCATTTTTATTCCAAGAGTATTTAATATGATAGATTTTAGTAGTTGAAATTTATATTTGAAACTAGTTTTGATGAATAACCAAAAAAAAATTTAATGTATTTACAAAAATCCCTTTATTCATTTCATAATTTGCATTATGAAATTGTCATTATTTATTAAATAATTCTATAAAAGATAATAATAAAATATGTATTCTTTTATTAATTTATAAATTAATATTTACATCTTATTCAGTCGGGAGTGATGAAGCTCGTTGTGTATTGCTGGATCAGGATTGAGATATATTTAATTTGATATTGAGGAATTCAACGGCTCAGAATTATTTTATATAAAACTATTTTTTGAAAAAAAATAATTAAAAATATAATACTCTCTACTTACATATTCTTCAAATTTCATACTCTTCAGCATATTGTTTAGGGATATAATTTCTAGGTTGATGCTACACGTACATAATGCGGTTCTATAACAGTGTCCACCCACTCACATGGAGATGACCCACTTCGAATATATTATATTTTATTTGAATTGGGCCCCTTTCACGTGAGAGGGTTGACACCGTTATAGACACCGTATTATGTACCAGTAGCATATTCCTAATTTCTATTACATTTCCTTTTAAAATCCTATTTTTTTCTGCATGAGTCTTGGTCTAGGATTTATAATTTCAAATACACGTGCTTCAAGTTGCCTATGCATATTAGTTTAGGGATAGATTTTCCAACTGAAGATGAAGAAAATAAAAGAAATTAGGGAAAAAAAAACCGTTGCTTACTCCTTAAACTAGTTCTTTTCCTCTTAACCTAACCAAGATTACTTTTTGAAAACCTTTAAATCAGTAACCAAACTTTTCATACACATGCAAGCGGTTGGGATTTTGAGAAGCATCAATCCTTTACCTTCATTCACTCACTTGAAACGGAAAGAAAACGTGCTTATTTTCATTTCTCGCTGCTGATCATTGTTTTTTCTGTGAAAGAATTTGGCCTCAATTCTAATAGGTGTGGGTATGTTCTTTTTAATGTATTTCTTTTTTGTAGTGAAATTATTTGTGGGAGTATAAATTTTTTTGGGTCATGCTTGTTTGTTTGGATTTGAATCCTATAAGATCTGAAAATGGAGGTATGGGACTGTGTTGGTTTGGGTTGTAGATATCATATTTGCATGTAAAATAGATTGGATTTTACCCTCTTTTTTTACTGAACATCTGAAAACTGGAGATTATTTGTTAGTGGGTAGGTGTTAGAAGATGAAACCAGAGGCGGGTATTGAGTGGAATGATGGGGATAAAACAATGGCGGAGGCGGTTTTAGGAATTAAGGCTTTTGATTACTTAATGTCGAGTTCGGTTCCGGCTGAAAGTTCATTAATAGCAATGGGAAACGATGAGAATTTGCACAATAAGCTTTCAGATCTTGTGGAAAGCCCAAATACAGCCAATTTTAGTTGGAATTATGCCATTTTTTGGCAAATTTCGCGGTCCAAGTTGAGCGGTGATTTGGTCCTGGGGTGGGGGGACGGGTGCTGCCGGGAGCCTTGCGAAGGCGAGGAGTCGGAAGGTACTAGAATGCAAAATATGACACCCGAGGACGAGACACAACAGAGGACGAGGAAAAGCGTGCTTCAGAAGTTGCACACAATTTTTGGGGGAACAGATGAGGATAGTTATGCTTTTGGATTAGACAAGGTTACAGATACAGAGATGTTCTTCCTCGCCTCGATGTACTTTTCCTTCCCCAGGGGAGAATGTGGTCCTGGGAAGTGTTTTGCATCCGGGAAGCATGTTTGGTTATCGGACGCATTAAATTCATCTCAGGATTATTGTGTTAGATCATTCCTTTCAAGGTCGGCTCATATGCAGACAATTGTGCTGATTCCGACTGATGTTGGAGTTGTGGAGTTGGGATCAGTTAGATCCATACCGGAGAACTTGAGGCTCTTGCAAGAGATAGGATCCTCTTTTTCATCATTTTCAGCACTTAGCAGGGCCAAGCGAATTGAGAGATCGACGATTCCAATGGATGAAAGGAATGAAAATGGTCCTAATTCTGAATTGGTAATCCGCAACTGGCCGGAAGTAATTCCCAAGATATTTGGGCTGGATTTGAATTCAAATGGTGCCGGATTAACGGAAAAACTAGCAGTTCAGAAAGTAGAGGACAGACCGTGTCACAAGTATGCAAATCGAAGCAGGTTCCCGTTCGCAAGGGATGGGCTTCAGAGGGCAACATGGATGCAAAACAGCAATGTAAATCCAGGACACTTATTAGAAATTTCAACTCCTCAGAACACAACCAAAAATCTAAACCAGATTGTCAATGAGTCAGGGGAAGAATTTCAGCTCAACAATTTTCAGAATCAGAAGTCAGAACAAATGCAGATTGATTTTACTGGAGTGACCTCAAGGCCTATAATTTCCAGTCCACTTAACGCTGAGTCTGAGCATTCAGATGGTGAGACTTCTTGCAAAGAGGACCGTGCAGGACTTTCTGACAACAAGAGGCCTCGAAAGCGTGGACGGAAGCCCGCCCATGGAAGAGAAGAGCCTCTTAATCATGTAGAGGCAGAAAGGCAGCGAAGAGAGAAGCTGAACCGTCAGTTCTGTGCATTACGAGCAGTTGTTCCAAATATTTCCAAGATGGACAAAGCCTCACTTTTGGGAGATGCAATCACTCACATAACCAAGCTTCAAAAGAAACTGAAGGAAATGGAGTCAGACGTAAAAAAACTTGAAACCATTTCAAGAAAGGCATCGATTTTAGAAACTAAACCAAATTCAAAATTACAAGATCAAGTTCCTAGAATCGAAGTCCAATCTGTCCATGACCAAGTCATTGTGAGGGTACTCTCTCCGTTGGATGCCCATCCTGTATCAAGGGTCATCCAAGCATTCCAAGATGCACAAGTAACTATTCTAGACTCAAATATCTCCACAGGGACTGATGTAGTGTTTCACACATTTGTTGTGAAGTCGCAAGGGTCCGATCAACTAACTATGGAAAAGTTGATGCAACTATTTTCCCGCAAGCCTAACTCCTTAGAGCTTCCTATATCATCGGTTGATTGATAAAAGTACTGCATTTAACATTGTTACCAGGCATTCTGTGTAGTGAAAAAACTGAAAAGCTTCTGCAGGGATTTTGATTATTCATCAGTTGATGCTAAGAATTGGGATTAGGAAAAGTACCATCTTTTGACTGAGTAGAATAGCAAATTTTCTGTTTCTTCATCGTATATGTAATCCGTCATTGGTATGTAATTGTTCAAGTTCCATTCATTTTATTAAGTTTAACTGGTTTTCGCCGGTATTATTATTCTGAAAGTTGTCAATTTTGTTTTGTTCAATATCTTCGTTGTGAGACGATTTCATTCTCTGAATACCTGTGCACATGATTCAAACATCGATTGATATGTCTAAGTCATCGGCTCGCGTGCGCGCACACACACACTCCTTGAATTGTAATCTTCTAAAACACATTTTGACAAACAAAATTCATGATTTGTCGATTATAAGATGATTTTTTTCCAGGAGGATTGATAATTAGCTAATTGCTCCAAAGTTCAAGCCGTCAAGGGAACAGTTTAAATGTGTAAATAATGTTTAATGTTTTGTTTGTGTGTAAATGTTAGGTAATTTCGAGGAAACATGAATTTATTAAAGATGACAGGTACGTTGAACGAAAATGTAGTGAGAAAGCAAAGAGGCAAATATTTCAAAAACGTGTTGAATGTGGATGGAGAATCTCCTAAAGTAGGACATGACTGATAATTCATTAGTCATTTCATGTACAGTCCCATTTTCTAATTTTCACCGTCGTCTAGAAACTTGAAGTATCGTCATAAGATATTGTATCGGCATAAAATATTTATCCTCTTACGGAGTAAATTGATTTCGTTATAAATTCAAGATCATTCTTATGTCCATTTGAGATTTTTTAATAGCTAGTAGCCACCAAATAAGGGTGGCAAACGGATCGAGTTGTGCCACGGGCTTTGCTCTTCTCATAGTTGGCTCAGGCTTGTCTTGAGACAAGTCATGAACAGAGCAGCTCACATTATTTTCACGAATTTACATGGCTCATTAGCACGAGCTCGCGTGCCGCTCATTTGGGCACGAGCCCACTAGTCGATTCGTGCGGGCTCGTGGACCGACTCTTTTTTGTCTCATTTTTTGACTTGTTTTATTATTATTATTTTTTAAAAAAAAAATTGCTTGCTTTTGAACTTTTTTTGTTAGGTTATTAAAAACAAAATCGTCTCGTGAGGCCAATGAGCTTAGGGCCGGGTCGAGCCAATCCCACATTTTGGGCATGAGCTGAGCTCGTGGTTGTAAGAGTTGAGCCGGATCATCTTGTCCTATTGCCACCCCTACCACTGAGACTCGTTTCCTTGTTCGGCGTGATCCATTTTTTGTGACAATTGATGTTGTTTTCTCGATTTGGTGATGATAACTATGGTTGGGAACAAGAAAGTTACGGTTACGTTGTATGTTTAAATTTTAGAAAGCGTGTGGACCATGTCTGTTGAAATATTCTTGTGTTACTTACAAAGTGATGACAGCAATGCTCGATGTAACCTACCATATATAGGCATGAGGCACACTTGCTCACCATATCTTTCTTGAATTGGACAAAGCTTAAATGAAGTTTCAATTAAAACGTGTGACCAAATTAGGGACCATAATCTATATTTCTTTTGCTGGCCAATAACCTCACCCTAAGCTCCGCAAATTAAGCTTTCTCCCATCCCATTTTTGTGTGTGTTATTTTCCACCATTTAAACTAGGGGTGAACTATTCTTTCCTACCACTCAAACGGAATCAGTATCCAACTTAAATACGCAGTTCGACTTAGGGGGTGTTTGAGCCCCATTATCTTCGAAAAAGGTATTTTGGAATAGTAGATTGATGGAAAATGTGTGGTTAAAAAATAAATTTTTTTTTTTGAGTTGCGTTTAATTTTAAGGAAGATTATGTGGTTGAAAAGAAGAGAAAGAAAAATATATTTTTGGCAAAACTGTGAATCAAACACCCCTTAGTCTTGTTCTGATTAAAATTTAACTTATTTTTAGTCTAGAAATCTATAGTGATAGTTTTCAATATTATTTGAATGAATTCACTTTGTATTAACATTTTGGGAGTATTTTGGAGGGTAAGATTGGAATTTAGTGCTTGTCATGCTTTAATTGACAAGTTAAATTATTATCGTCTATATCTATCAATATAGGCTCAATGTCGGACAACTCGTAAATTTTATTTTTTATTTTTGTAAAAGCATCTGAATTCTGAGTGAAAAATAGAAATGAAGGTAGCTTTGCCCAAATGGAAGCAGAGAATAAGAAAAGAATGAAAGGAAAATTTTTTTTAAAAAAAAAGAGGTTCCACCGAGATTTGAACTCGGGTTACTGGATTCAGAGTCCAATGTCCTGACCACTAGACCATGGAACCAATTTTATGTGGAATCACAGAAAAACATTATATATTTAGTATTTTGAATATAATAAAACAACGTTTATATACATTTACTAAATATAGGCTACAATTCTTAGGTTTGGTTGGGCACTTTTATAAATTTTAGAACCGTGCTAGACGGACTGTGCACAAGCCCCCAGCCATAATTTGGATTTAGTTCCATTCCGTAATTAAAGTTGGACACATGTATTTCATTCATTAGATATACAGCAATTCTTGGGTCGATTTGATCCGATTCTTTTTGGAATAGAATAGAATTGGACCATATTCACCCCTAAATGAAAAAAAAAAAATTGTATATACACACACACACACACACGAATGAACGACAAATATTGATGCCAACAAATTTCTGGATGATACTTTTGACTAATTATGAGTCCATGACCATGTAAAGAAGTGTGTAGGATTGATTTACACTGTAATTCTGTAAATGAACACCAAATTTAACAAAAGAAAAATTCAAATTTATTGATGCTAGCTTTTATTTGAGTTTCTTTAAAATGAGATTTTGAGGAAAAAATTGTTTTAGAATATCGATTTTTTTTTTAAAAGATTTAATAGCATGTCTATCACCATCTTGGAAACATAATTTTTAATTTTGCTAGTAATCACCCAAATGGGATACTTTTTATGGAGACTAAATGTGTAAGGTCCTGTATTTTATTTTACTTATTTTGGTTGGTTTGGCCCCCATTTAGTTTTTGTTTGATCCTCATTATATATTTCTCTCTCTTCTTTTCAATCACACATTTTTCAATAAAATAGTATTATATACAAATTTAAAAAATTTTCTTATTTTTTAAAAACATATTGTCTATCAATCTACTATTTTAATATGCATTCCTAGCTTTTAATAGGGTTCAAACAGGATCTTAATAAATGAGTATTGAATATTCGACCCACGTAAGGAAAGAAAATCTAAAATATATAAGTAGGTTTAAAATCCAAAGATCTAAGTCAATTAAATTTGGTTCAAGTCGTCATGCAGATGTTTTCAAAAATAAAATTAAAAAATTGTAAGAAAGTTCATTTTTATAGCAAGGATCAAGGTAAGTGGCGCAAGTTAATTTTATCTATAAATGTCTATGTATATTTTATATTTATAATATAATTGTAAGCTATGAACTGTAAATGTTAAAGTTTTATGGCTATAATCGATTTCAATAATCCCAAGGGATTCTTAGGAATTAAGAATTTCACCGATGATTCATCTATGTCAAAATATTTATGGTATAATTTTTTTATATTTTACACGTGAATATGTATATTTATTGAAATGGGATTGCACTTGTGAAATTCTATGGAGCTTTATGCCCACTACGACTCTATGAAAAATTTTATATTGGGAAGTGGTCGTGAATGGATGGAGATTGCAAAAATTGTGAAGAAATCAAAGGATGGAAATCAAATCACGTCTTAGGTTCCCATGTGTAGGATTTACTTTCATGTGTTTTAAAGTTAAAACCAAGTATGAATTTACAAGATTACCCTTGATTGAACTTGTACTTCATTTGGACATGAATTAGATATCTGTATAACTTTATGAATTGATATTTATTAAATTATGTTAGTATTGCACGTTTGCATAAGTTTTTTGGCATGAAAATATGATTAGATGTGTAAATTTGGACATGTAAATACGTTAACTAAAAATTTTAGCTTCTTGTTCGATTTTCAACTGTCACCTTGAACTGAGTTTTATAAATTTTTAGATGAGACTAGTGGGATTTGAAAGCCATATGAGTCCTTTGTACTGACCGTTGGCTTTAGAATCAAGTCTTTTGAAAGTCGGTAGGATAAGTTATACTCTTTTTCGTATGTCGTGTTTAGAATGCTTGGAACAGTTTTTGACTTGTGATTTGTATGCCTAAATGCATGTTAAAAAATTCTGAAGTTTTTCTATATTGTACTTGAATGAATTTAATAAATTTAAAATTTTCATAGAATTCTAAACCCGAGAAATGATCCAACTGGGTTTGATCATTAGGTAGCTCGTTGTAGGATTGAACTCTGTTAACTGGGCTTGATCATTTCTCATGTGATTGAGTGTTCAATCGTGTGTCTAAATGTATGTTAGAAAATTCTGAAAATTTTCATGTTGTACTTTAATGAATTTAAGAAATTTAAAATTTTTATAGAATTTTGAACCCTAGAAATGATCCAACTGGGCTTGATCCTTAGGTAGGTTGTTGTAGGGATGTAAATGAGTCGAGCCAAGCCGAAGCTTGTGGCTCGGACATGGCTTGAGTAAAAAATGCCCCAAGCTTTTTTTGCCCTATTTGAGCCGAGCAAAAGCTCGACCGAAAAATTTAGGCACGGTTCGGGCTTCACGAGCCGAGTCAGCTCGTTTCTTCTTCTCTTTTTTTTTTTAATGAAAAAAGGTGACTACAGCTCATGCAATTGTAGTCAGGCGCATTTACAAGTGCCTGTAATATGGGTAGCCAGCTGTTGCCTGTAAGTAGTTATAATTGCCTGAAACAGTCAGCCACCTGTATGCAACACTACAACTACCTAGTTTCAGGTAGCATTACAGCTGCCTGAAACAAGAAGTTGTGTAGCCTCACGGGCCAAAATTGCCCCATGTGGCTCGTCCG